GAAAGGGTGGGTGAAGTAGCCTACAGGCTTGCATTACCACCTAGTTTATCAGTGGTTCATGCGGTATTCCATGTGTCTATGCTCCAGAAATATCATGGTGATTCGTCCCATATGTTAGATTTCAGCTCAGTCCAATTTGACAAAGATTTGACTTACGAGAAGGAGCCGGTGGCTATTCTAGCCCGGCAGGTCCGACAGTTGAGGTCTAAGAGTTATCCTTCAGTTCGGGTGCAATGGAGAGGTCAGCCGGTAGAGGCATCTACCTGGGAGTCTGAGTCGCACATGCGGAGTAAATATCTATACCTTTTCTCCAGCTCAGGTACTTTTTTCTTACTCCGTTCGAGGAAGAACGTTTATTTTAGAAGTGGAGAATGTGATGACCCAAAATGTCATCTTTAAATTTAATAAGTAATTCTGTATTCTAAGACCTCGAAAAGCACCATTTATCATTCCTCGACTTGCGTGCGCAGTCCGAAAAATTTTCCGGAAAGTTTTCATGCGAAAAATGAAATAAAATGTGAAATAGAGCTTTAAAACTCAAGTGAGTTGACTTTGGTCAATAGTTTTAGCAAACGGACCCGGATCAGTATTTTGGAAGTTTCAGTATCTCCGTATCGTGATTTGAGACTTGGGCATATGCCCGGAATTCAATTTGGAGGTACCTAGCTCAAGTTATGACCATTTAACGGAACTAGCAATTTAAAGGCTTTATTTTCAAGTTTGACCACGGGGCTGACTTTTTGATATCGGAACCAGAATCCGATTCTGGAAATTTGAACTGCTTCGTTACGTCATTTATGACTTGTGTGCCAAATTTGAAGTCATTCCAGATTCATTTAATATGTTATGGCACGGGATTTGTAAATTGAAAAGTTTAAAACTCAAAGTTTAAATCGGGGTGTGAATTGTAATTCCAACGTTGTTTGATGTGATACGAGACCCCGAGTAAGTCCGTATTATATTATTGGACTTGTTGGTATATTCGTACGGGGTCCCAAGTATCCCGAGAGAGGTACGGATTGAAATCAGATCAAGAATTGGACTTAAGCAAAATATGAATTTTTCCTTCTGTTGTAATAGCACCTGCGGATTTTTGCCCGCAGGTGCGAGCTCACAGAAGCGAGTCTTCCATCGCAGATGTGCCCAGGCATGTCCAGGATTTGATCGCAGAAGCGGACAGCTTCTCACAGAAGCGTGTCCGCAGATGCGCACCAAATCACGCAGATGCGGGACTGGGCTGGCCTGGGGTCTTCGCAAGTGCAGCCTTTTTGCGCAGAAGCAGATGTCGCAGGTGCGACAGGAGTGTCTGCATATGCGAAACTTCACTTGGCAGCGTGGCATCGCAAATGCGGAACTTTTATCCGCAGATGCGAAAATGACTGGGCAGAGCCCATAAATTCAGAAGTCGCTATTTTTACTCATTTTTGAGTTTCAAGTCTCAGATTTGGGCGATTTCATGGGGGATTTTCATGACTTTGAATTGGGTAAGTGTTCTATAACCAAAAGTGATTATATTTCACGAATCCATATCTATAATCATCATTTATTTCGGATTTAGATGGAAGAAATTGGAATTTTTGTAAAACTATCCAAAAAAACAAAAAAATTAGATTTGAAGGTCCATTTGATATCGGAATTCGACAATTTTTGTATGGTTGAACTCGTATCGAAACGGGTGTTCGGATTTTGCGAGTTTTTCTGAGATTTGAGACGTGGGTCCCACTGTCGAATATTTAAATAAATTTCAGATTTTTATCCGGAAAATTTATAAATTCATATAGAATTAATTCTTATGATTAGTATCGAGTATATCGAATTATTTGTGAAAAGATTTGAAGCTTTCAGAGATAAATTTAAAAGGAAAAGTTGTGGTTGAGTAATTGATTGGAATTTGCAAAGCGAGGTAAGTATCGTGGTTAACCTTGACTTGAGGAAATAAAACCCTTAAATTATTTGTTATGTGAAATGCATGTGAACGACGTATAGGCGAGGTGACGAGTGTCTATACGCCGTCAAATTAATTGTTTGCCTGCTTACTTGAAAAATCATAAATTATTTTAAATCATAAATTAATTATTATAATAATTGTTTCTCTCCTATTCTTTGTCAAATATTAATTCTTGAATTCCTGCATTAATTGTTACATGCTATTTGAATTATGTGTTTTATTTGTTATTTGACATTTAGCAGATTAAATATTAAACTGCCTATTTTTCCCTGATTTCCATAATAATTTGCTATTTGTCATTGTTTGTTTCATAATTAAATCATAATTATTGTATGCTTGTTGTCTTATAATTTTATATTAATTGTTGCATTTATTGGGGAAATTACTTCTATAAGAATTGGTAAATGGATATATTGGAGGATCGGGTTGCACGCCGCAACAAAATTGATTGAAATGGATATATTGGAGGATCGGGTTGCACGCCGCAACAGACTTATTAAAAAGTCCATATTGGTGGATCGGGTTGCACGCCGCAACAGACTTATTAAAAGTCAATATTGGGGGATTGGATTGCACGCCGCAATAGACTTATCAAAAAGTCTATACATACTTGATTGAAATAAATATATGACAGACTTGATTAAATGGAATATATTGGGAGAGCGGGTTGCTCGCTGCAACAGAATTGAATGTGAATATATTGTGAGAGCGGGTTGCACGTTGCAACAGAATTGAATGTGAATATATTGTGAGAGCGGGTTGCACGTTGCAACAGAATTGAATGTGAATATATTGTGAGAGTCGGTTGCACGCTGCAACAGAATTGATGGAAATGACAATTGGTTATGACTGCTGAGTTGGATTCAATTATTATAAATGAATTACCTAATTTATTTCTATTATTGTTGTTGTTACTAATACTGCGTACAGGTAATGTAAGTGAACCGCCTTAGCCTCTGTCACTACTTCGTCGAGGTTAGGCTCAGCACTTACCAGTACATGGGGTCGGTTGTACTGATACTACACTCTGCACTTCTTGTGCAGATTTTTAAGTTGGTCCCAGCGGCGTACCATAGACTTGCTCGGATTTCAGCTACCAGAGGAGACTTGAGGTATAACTGCATGGTGTCCGCAATTCTGAAGTCCCCGTCTATTTTACTTTAGCTGTGTGTTTATTTTCAGACAACTTTATTTTATTTCACACCTTTATTTGTATTATTCTAAAAGCTTGTGCACTTGTGACACCAAATTCTGTGATGGTATTTAGACACCGTTGTTTTTATGGATTATTCACTATATTTCAAACTTTGCTTCCGCATTTATTTCTTTGATTATTAATAATTTAAAAATTACTTTAAAATTTGTTAATATTATTCTAACGTTGGCTTGCCTAGCAAGTGAAATATTAGGCGTCATCACGATCCGAATGTGGGAATTTCGGGTCGTGATAATATATTAGTTACATGCCAAAAAGAAATACAAAGGTAACTACATAAGGAACACAACGTAAAAGTAACATACAGAACAACAAACGTTAATAGAAACTAAAGTAGAGCACATGTAAGTGCTTAAAGAACGAGCAATCATAACAAGTATCCAACTCCCATTCTTCTTATACGGTAACAACTAACCGGCCAATCTTATTTGGCAGTTTAGTTAATTTGAAGAACTTTTGTAATCTTTAATTATTATAGTTGAGCCTTTTGGATCTTTATGATCCCATAATTTTTACTTTCAAGATGAAAGATTTTCCACATTAAAATTTGATGCTCTTTATCTTTTCTATTCTCGAATTTGCCTCTTCTCGGTATAACACAAACTGTATCCCATTTTTCATTTCCTACCACCTTGAACACGATACCAAGGGGTGAATTTTGCTTTCTTCACTTTCCAACTATTAAGGTCAGTATCTTGAGCTAAGTTGTAATATTTATTAAATCCAATTACTCATGTCTAACACCTAAATATTTGATTGGACTAGACTTCTCATCTTCCCCCAATTTCATATCTTTAGCTAAAGTTTTGGCATTTGGGATACTTTGAGGTATTTACTCTCATTCCACTATTGGGTAATAGATGTTGTGTCTTTGAATTGTCGATGCCCTTGGCAACTGATAGATGACAAAAAATGCATGATTTTAATTGTGTTTTTCTATCATTTCGTATGTGAGTTGCAGAAAATCGCATGCTTATAAACATAAAATATACTCATTTACAAGTTTATTGTATGCAAGAATGCGTTTAGATAGAAGTTGGCAAAAAATCAAATGATTTGAAGCAAAAGAAAATTAAGAGGCAAAAGATGGAAGCATGCTACAATTGGCGCCTCACGCGGACGGGTCGCCATGGCCTATAAAGTGAATCAAAAACTAGTGAATTATAACACTTTGGCACCAACCCCTGCACGAGAAAAGAAGAAAGAACTGGAAGTGTGCTTAGGGGTCCGCGTCGTGCGAGCCCTAGGCACGCGACCCAGTTTTCCTGGCCGAAACAGAAGAGGCACAAGGCCATCCCATACAAACAGTAATTGATACAAATGCATCCTAAAATGTCCTTTTGACTGGGAGATACACTACTTTAGAGTAAGCCAAGACCCTTAGAGGTACTACAAAAAAATGCTAAATTTGCGGAGGTTTTATTTACATATTGCAGCGGTCACAAACCTCCGCAATATACTTTTACGTCGGTTTTCAAAACCCCCGCAATAATGTTCGCCGCAACCAATTTGCAGGGGTCTTTTGACAGACCGCCGTTATCATATAGCGGCGGGTATTTGATGGCGGCATAACCTCCGCAATTTGGTAGTTTGGCTGTCACTTATTAAAAACATAGCAGAGGTCTAAACCCCCGCAGTTTCTTTATTTAACCCCCATAAATTTTATAACACAATATTATTATAGGTTAAATAGTGACAGTTATAACCTCCGCTATTCATTGAATATTTTTTTTTTCTGCAATGTTACTCCATAGTTGTTCCAATTTTAATTATATTAATATAATGAAGCATCAACAAATTATATAAATTGCTTACTGGAATCAAGTATTATCAATATATTAATAAACCACAAAATACATTAAAGTAAATTATCATTAGTCTCAAAATTTTGCTTTAAACACAACTGCTCCAACCATTAAACACAAAACATCAATATTATAATTAGTCTTAAAACTAACATTAAACAGAATATCCACTCCAACCATTATGGACAAAAGATCTACTATGACCATTCAATCGAGTATGATACTTAATTATCTAATTCATTTGCAAGCAACTTCAATGGTTGTCGTTAGGATTACTTCCACTGGATGATCTTCTTACATCCATGGTTGAAATGGATCCGCTAGCCGCATCACTTGGCTACAAAACAATCAAAAGAAAATATAATTAACAAAACGTACCTCAACAATATCCTAACTAATAATACTTGGACTGAACAATCATATTTTACAAAATTAAATAAGAAAGTTATGAACTATTCTTACCGTTGAACGAGGAGGAGAAACAAATATCCCTGCAAATTCTTTAGGTATCTTCCCTTCTTTAATTATCATATACACCTTAAAAGCATTCATCATTTGAGTGTTAACATTCATCATTTCTCTGTAGTTTTCTTGGCTTTGATTGTGAGCATTCAACATTTGATTGTACTTCTCTTGGCATTGGGAAGAATATGAACTATTATTATAACTTGAAGCATTCAAATCACTATAACGAGGTCTTATTTGTCTAAAAGCTCTGCCAGGAATAACTCCTAATCCTAAGCACCTTACCCTTCCAGAGTGCTCTTTTCCCAACACCTTACCAACAACATCATTTGGCGAAATTTCAAACTCAATCAGTGATTGACAAGTTAAAAAAGAAAAACAATAGAAGAATAATATCTTTTTCTATTATAAAACAAGTGCTGAAACTTTGGCACTGCAGTTAGTAACACAAAATTCACCATAATAAGGATTTATGTAACAATATTTAAAATATGGATATTATTCACATATTAGAAGTTGTTCCTGGGAAATCATAATCCTATTCTTATTCTGTATACTGGTTTCTTTGCTCTGTTTCTGATATAATGCTAATGAAGTGCTTTAATTTGGATCATTCCAATTTCCATGTCTCATGTCTTCCCTATAGTTTACTTCTCTGTTTTGTTCAAGTAGTTGCCTTGGAACTCTATTCTAATTCTTGATGTTGACAGTTCTCTATTGTAATTCCAATATCAAGAATATGAGATTGGGGAAGGTGTTCCTTAACTGATATCAAACTTTTGCGAATGAAATGTCTAAATAAGAGAATAAATAACTTATAGATAAGTTAAATATCAACAAAGAAGACTAATAGCAGAATAATCCACCACTTTTATTGTGAGTTATTAGTTTGAAGAATTGACCCAACCAGTCGTCCACCTTATCTCTTTGACATAATAAAGCTAAGCTAATTAAATCAACCAAACATAGATCCAAAATCAGTTATTCCTTGAGGTTCATTTGAATTTATCTTCCTCCTGTAACTTCTTTTCGTATCCTCAAAAATCGAACAAATTACTCAAATCCAAAATGGAGCCTTCTCATACTATTTATGGCTATGCATAAGCGTACACTTCAATTGTTAGTGCACGGTTAATGTTATAATAATAAACACATATTTATTCTTCTAAATTACTCCTAGGAATTAGGATATTATGAATGCAAACAATTTGATTATGTTATGCACCAGAATATATGAGTAAATACTTACTCGTACTTGGTTTTTATTCTAATCAAACAGTTTAACTTAGCAATTAAAAGTTAAAAAGAAAACACATTACTTATTCATGATTTAATTGTAAATATGTATATGAAAACATCTATCTTGTATATATTGGATTGATTAATCAATGGATATGTATAAGGAATATTTGTTTGCAATGGAAAAATTGAAACTGCTAGAATATTTTACCGTGGAATATGATACTCCTATAATGTTAAGGAAGAAATGAGGCCAAGAATCTAAAATAAACAAACCAACTGAACTGTGAAGTGCCACTTAATAAAACCCACTATTTAGTGACAAATAGTGAACCACAAAATGCCACAAAACTCCAAGTATTCATTCAGAATCAAGCTGGAATAGTAGAAGTGCATTATTGCAGAATATTTCAAGAAAACATCAGCATTAGCCACAAGCAAATACCAATAACAAGTCCTATGGCAAGAAATTCCTAACCAGAATTGGCTGCAATTGTTATTGTAAAGACAAGAAATATGTTAAGGTTGATGATCAAGTCGGCGAAAAGAGTGTTATATCCTTCTTCAAAATACACCGATTCAACCAAATTTCTATCGATTCTACCAAATTTTTGCCGATTCAAAATACACCGATTCTATCAAATTTCTTCAAAATACATCGATTCTACAAATTAACAGAGAAAATAAACTTAAAACCCACATGCATGAAGAAATAAAGACAAAAAAGCAAAATCAAAGCAAAATCGAAGAGGAATTTGTATGAAAGAGCAAAATTAAATAAACTTACATCCAATTGATTGATAGATCTGAAGTTTTCTTTCATATCTCTTTCATTTTGCAACAGAGGAGGCGCTGAAGAAAAGCAGAGAGCTATTGTATTTGGAATTTTCAAACTACACGGGCTTGAAATCGGAGGAAATGAAGAAGAAATGGAAGATATCAAGTAAAGAAGAAATGGAAGAGATTAAGTGAAGGAACAGAGATTGATAGATCTGTAGTCTCTTTATTGCTATGGGTTTTGATTAAGTGAGAGTGGGCGAGGGTTTATGAAAATGAAAAATAAGCGAAAATTAGAAAGGGGTTTGGGAAAAAATGAGAGGGAAATATTAGGGTTAGTGGGCGCTATTTTTTTAAGGGTTGCGGAGGTTACCGACCGCCGTAAATATAATATATTTGCGAGGTTAAATAACCCCCCACAATTTGATATAGATTGCGGAGGTTATATTAACCGCCGCAATAAAACCTCCGCAAATTTAGTATTTTTTTGTAGTAGGCAAGAACATGTTAGGAGAAAGATTCAACCATTAGTTTTTCTCCTCTTCTTTCTATTTTTTATTGTGGGTTATGGAGTTTAGTATTGGGTTATCACATACTTTTAAGTAGCTAATTCTACTATTTAGGGTTTTTATGGAACCTTTTAAAGAATGAATTGTTGAAGTAGCTAACTGAGCCTTTGGATTTCTCTATGTGTTCAACTACATGCTTATTTTAGTTAATTGAAGATCTCCCAATTGATTGCGCCTATTTATTATGTATTGTTTGGGAAATGGTACACATTTAGGTGGTTATTGAACAACGTCACTCCTAACGTAAGTGATGAGTCAATACGGTGGATTTAAAGGTGGGTTTAGGAAATAACAAAGCCGTGACGGAGTCATAGTGAGCGGTAAAATAGTGCCAGCTAGTATAGTTCGGGAGAATATGCCTAGTAAATTATTATAGTTGCTCGAGAGAGGATTACAACACTGGGAGTGCTCACGATCAGTAGAGAACTTAGATGAAATTATGGGAGACATATAGCAGAAAGATTTCTAATAATTGAAAAAATTGAAACTCTAGGCCTCCTTAATCGTGTCTCTAATTTCATTCTCGTTACTTAATAATTTTACTATTTTCTAGTATTTTTTTGTCAATCACTTTAAAATAAAAATCACGAATCTTTATAACTAGGAAATTATTTGGACTTGTGTTTCTTAGTGATATCGAATAATTGTAGCTAAACCTTAATTCTCTATGGAATTGGACTCGGACTCTAAAACCAGATTATATTTGCAGCGACCGTTTATTCATGATCTATGCCATGTTCCTTATTCTTGAAGAATGAGAGGCAAGGGATTAATCAAAAAAGATCTTTTATTTTTTTACATATAGAATCGTGATTGGCTCTGCATATATTTGGGCCAAGAAATATTCAATGGTGATGCATGTAAGCTGGAGTTTTCGAGGGATAAATAACCTCTAATTTCTTTCAGATTTGGCGAGCATCTAAAGTAACTAGTGAACTACAACTATATTGTTCAACAATTGGGCTCCTTGGTCTGTTAATTAGTAGTACTTAATTATCTTTCACTGAACTCGTGATCATATCAAACGGTCAAGTAAAATGTGTATTAACTCAAATTTGGATGATCCTTTTGAGTTAAAACACAGTGTAACCCTTGGCGATTTCTTTTACTTTAAAGCTGGAATGTTTTAGAAACTCAAACGAGAATATTTGAACGAAGAGAAAGCAGTTGCTATATATCTTATTAAGCAAAAGTAGCAGTTGAAGAAGAACTACATTTTCAAAAGTCTGCTTCTAGAGTAGTGTATAACACTCTTTTAACTACAGAAATCTGCTATCCATCGACAATAGCAGTAATTAGGAGTACTTGAATTTTCCCCTATTAAACAATAATGATTGACGATGCTATGACCTTTGGATATTTTAGAGCACTCCGTCAGGCATTTCGCTGAATCTTTTTCTGGTCGACACGCAACGCCAAGAATTAATTCTTCACAAACATTTACTTGCCCTTCAACTGAATGCATTATTCCTTTTTCTGCAAATAAATATATTGCAGTACATAAACAATCTTGCATATTTAATGTGGAAACCTTGCATAAGAAATGCTATCATCATTTTTAAATTGTTCATGGAAATTACTATTGCGTTCGAATAATTAAGAAATGAGAATTATCTTAGCAAAAGAATATACCTGATGTGAGAATTAGAAAAGCGATCCCCACGACGAAAATAGTTGCTAAAGCTTGCTTCATCTTTTTCTTTTTTCCTTCTGAACTCTAGACAATCTGTCTTTCCAATCTCTTGCACTTCTATTTATACTAGTGATAAAACATATTTCTGACTTGGATTCAACTGAACGGTAAATTCTTTTTACTTGGCATTTTAGAAATATAATTAAGTGCATAAATTTTTACCTATTTTAATACTTTCTATTGTTTCACTGGTATGAGATACACGAACAACTAAAAACGACAAGTACATACATTTTATAACTATTTTAATATTCTAATATGAAAACCTTTTACACATATTTACATGGATTAAACTGAATATGAGATCTCAAATTTAATATGTAAAGAAAGGATTTTTCCCGTTGCGATCCTTTATTTTACCAAGTTGCATATGTAACTGGTGAAATGAGATTTAAACAACTCTCCTATTCTGTCACTGACATTAAATAAGTAAAACGAAAAAATATAAGTACATAAACTGTATACCTATTTTAATTTTCTTAGAGGATCACCTTTTACACATATTTACTTGGATTAAACTAATAAGGAGATCTCAGCGTTAATTAAAATAAATGATATTGCTAACTGACACCTTTTTTACCAAAATTGCATATATAACTGGTGAATGAGACTTAAATAACTCTCCTATTCTATCACTGATATAAGATTAGAGAACAAAGAAAAAAATAAGTACATATATTTTGTACCTATTTTAATGTTCCAAAATGAATACCTTTTATTACATATATAAGTGGAATAATTTAATAAAGAGATCTCAAATTTTATTCAAAATTGTAAGGAAAGGATTTAGTAATTGAGACCTTTTTTTAATATAGTTAAATTGCATATATAAGTAGCGAAATGGGATTAAAATAACTCTGCTATTCTATAGACTACGGTAGAGATCGACATAGCTGCACAATTGATTCTTACACCAATTCATCCTAATTTAATAGTTAATTAATAATTAAAGGTAAAAATACCTATTAATTAACTATAGTTTAATGACAATGATGCATATAATTCATTTATTTTGTATTCATTGGATTGGTATAAACATTTTATGTGGATAAATTCTTACCATCAAACTATCACCGATATTAGATAAGCAAAACACAGAAAAATAAATACAAGAAAATTATTTTCTACCTATTTTAATATCCTACAACGAATTCCTAATTCACATATTAATATGGACTAAGCTAATGAAGATTTTTAAAATCCAATTCATATCTACGACGCCGAAAGATTTGGGAAAAAAGGGATTTGGCCACTTGAAACCCTTTTTAATGATAAAATTGCACATCGAATTGGTAAAATGGGAAATGATCCATTGCAGTATTCGGTTAAATGGGTTATGGCATGCTTATTGACTTAAAAGGGGAATTTTCATAAAGCGCTATAGTTTAGAGCTTAATTATCATATATGACTATAGTTTGCTTAATTCGTAGCTATTGTTCTATTGTCACCAACTTATATCACTTGTATTTAGACGCGCAACGGATACAATCTGTGTCAATTGTATTCATTCGTCCAATGAATACAACCAATATCAATTGTATTCGTTCGCGCAATTATATTTGTTCATACAACGAATACAACCAAGGCAAAATACAAGGGTTTATACAAAGAATACAACCTGTATCGACCGAATTTTTATCAACTGTATTCATTCGCGCAACAAATACAACCAAGGCAAAATACAGAAATACAGCAAAATAGAATGCTTTCATTAAGAGTCAAACCCAGGACCCCCGCTTACTAAGCGAGCGCTCTAACCAACTGAGCTACGAGAGCTTGTTGCTCTATTATTTCAGTTCAAAACAATTGATCTCTTGTTTTAGTACTACAGGTGAATTTGCTATAAAATTTAAATATAGATACGAACGGTAATGTCACGACCCAAAATCCACTATAGATCGTGATGGCGCCTAACGCCGCCGTCAGGCAAGCCAACATTAATTTATCAATTTATTTACTCATTTTATTACTTTCGAGATCATAATCTCCATTTCTTAAATAGTATAAAATAGAATTTACAGGGTAAAAAGATAATAACTATGTGAGCTACAATAACAAACAACCAGTAGGAACTCCTAAAATTCGGTGTCACAAGTACATGAGCATTTTTCTAATGAGTACAATAATAATACAACATCTGCCCCGAATGTGGTAAGACAGAATAAAATAAACAGTACAATGGAGACTTAGTGGATTGCGATGCGTATCCTAGAATGCAACTCACATAAAGTCTCCTCAACAGGCGTGCCTATGCGCCAAGGTGATCATCAAATGAACCTGTCAGATCCTGCACATTTAGTGCAGAAGTGCAGTATGAGTACGTAAATCAACGCGTACCCAGTAATTATCTAGCCTAACTCAGGAGAAGTAGTTACAAGGGGTCGACATCGACACTTACTAAAGGTCCAATAAAACAATATAATAAAACATAAGAAAATATGAGGCATACGACAATGATGGGGTAAATCTGTAAGTTACATAATCTTCCAATTTCTTCTTTCAAAGCATGAATTTCTAAATCTTGTATTCAACCTTAACAGCTCAGAAAAATGTCAAGTGTCATTATCAAATAAATAAGGAATACTATATAAAGTGTCGGGCATCAATGGAGAGATTACCTCGTGAATATTCGGACTACTAGCGATATAACGCACGATTCTGCCGAGGTCGTTCGGCCCAATCTAGAATAATATGTATACTGCCGAGGGTCGAGCGGCACGAACCATAGATGCATCTATATACTGCCGAGGCGTTCGGCCCGCTCCACAAGAAAAGAAAATCGAATTACGAGACACATGTTTACAATACCGTACATGAGTATAAAATGGATATAATCTTTACCGTTTCTCAATAACTCGCCCACAACTCAAAGTGTTAAAGCTTGTCCTAGTATACATATATTTATTTCTAAATCAATTTTATTTATAACTTCAATTAATTAAGCCAGCAAAATGAGTTCAAATATTACATGATAAGATCTTAAGTCTACCCGGATATAAACATGTTGTAGCTACGTACGGACCCTCGTAATCTCGTGCGTACGTAGCACC